AAACTTATAAGGGCTGTGTTCTCCTCAGCAAAGGCCAGATCTTACTGCTGTCGACTCTGATGCATGTGAGAATATGGCCTGTATTTATGCATTTATCACGGCATATGTAAAATATAACTACCAAAGCCAAAGTAAATTTTTCTGATTCTTTCTAATAAATGTAAGTAAAATGAAGATGCAAATTTATATTATTATTTCCTAACTTATATTTGTTTACAGCTGTGTAAATCTTTGGAGCCTGACTTTGATCTCATTTACCTTTGCACTGGTGTAAACCAGGAGAAAAGCCACTGAAGCAATGAAATAAAGTCAATGAGGGTGAGAGGAGAAACAGAGTAATCGAATTCAGGTTACTCCTTATCCCACTCCCACATCAGTGAGAGTGTAATCACCCCCATAGGTTTTTATAAGCAGCTGAGAAAAGGAGTTCAGTATGAAAAATGAGAGAAAAGTGACTGAGGCCTGTTTTCTTTATTCCAGGACCTATTCAGTGAAAAGATAAGGTACAAGCAGTACTTGACTATGAATATCCATCTAAAATGAAGTCTAATAAAAATTTGCACACAAAGAATGGTCTCTAGCCACATCTTTATCCACTTCAAGTACTGTGTGCTTAAAAGTCAAGCTTTTTCAGCCTCCTTTATTTTATGCATAAATATTGCAGAAAAATTTCCAGAACTGTAGACTGGAGTTCAGCCCTTAGAACTGAACTGCATCAGCTGAGACAATAAAGGCTGTTGTTTTTATGATAAATTAGTCCTGCATTTTTTCATATGCTTTTGGTTCATCTGATAGCTCACAACATCTAATACTCTGCAGTGGGTCTCAAGTAATGATTACAAGCTAAGCTTTATCTCATAGCTGGATCAGAAGGAATAAATTACTGTGTCTGCATGAATCTTATTTCAAACCTGTGCTCTTAAGAAGATTGTATCGTAACATGTAAGGGGTTTTATGTATTCCTTGGCTGGCGTCAGCCATAGCACTTAGTACTAAGTCCAGAGGAACAACATTATCAATGATTTTGCTTTTCCACAAGCAGTTCAGTCTGTTTCTAAAAGTGCAAAAGGTCTCTTCAGTTCTGGTACTGGGAATAACTCTGGAACTAGTATGCTGTCATGGGTATAAATACTACTCTCCATTCAGAAGAATATAACCTTTTCTGTTTAACAACCCTTAAAAAATGTATGCACATGGTCTTCATTCTTCAGCCTTAAATTTAAGCAATTGAATTCTTCTTTTGCTGTAAGCAAGAATAATTTTTTTTAATCAAAATAAGAATACTTGTAACTGCCCAGCAACATTTGAGACACAAATGAAGTCATAATTTCTGCCCAGAGCAATTCACAAATTAAAAAAAGACTGCCAAGAGTATACTCAAGGAGCAATAAGCACAGCAGTATGACAGGATGGTACCTAGTGATAATCCTGGTTGATTTTTCATCCTGCATTTAATCTTTAAGGTATCTGAAGTCAAGGCGTGCCTGACAAACGTGCTGAGCACTAACTACATTGTTGAAATAATTGATGTAATTATCACCATCATCAATATCCAAGAATGGAAGGATGACATAATTTTTTTCAAAAACAAAATACGAACTTTAAACATTTTTAGCAAGTGTCATTTTTTTGTTTTCTTTCAAGGCATAGTGTGCATATGCCATTTTGTCTAAACAGGTGGGAAAAACACCAAAACATTCAACAAAACGTTTGGCAAGCCTAGCGATGAGGATGCAGATGAACTGTATTGCTTGCAACTACCTCTGTGAGTAGCAACTGTGCTGCGGGTTGTAAATAGGGAAGATCTTGGGATGTCATAGTGCAGACTCTAGCGCTGTACTAGAAACTGTGGGCTAAGCCAACTTTAGGGGAGTCCTTCTATTGACTTCAATGGCAGTTGAATGAAGCTACGTAAGCTGAAAATCAGATGCAGTCCATGAGAGCCTGGCTTAGATCAAAGAGCGCATGAGAATTGGCTGACCATGGTTACATACAGGGGAACAGTCAGGTTACAGGTGCCTGCACGTGTGGGCTTAGATAAAGTAAAAGCGATATTAAATATTTTTCAAAACAGTATCATCAAAGTATCTGATGATCTTAGTATTTTGTAGGCAGCTGATAGAAAATTCACAGAGAATGCTTAGGTTCCATTTTAATTTGACAGTCCATTTCAGAATAAGTTTATTCTTTAAATTCTTTAATTTCTAAATTCAGAATTTTAGTATAGTGATATCTGGCAGATCATCTTTGTACCTGAATTCTCTCTGTGAAGTTTCACTTATGAACACCACTATTAATGTGTAATGTGATTTCTCCAGTCTTTCTACCCTTTTTTTTCTGGCTCAGATTCTCCTTTTTGAGCTGATATGTGGAAAATATGAGCACATTATTTAAAATATTTGAAAATTCATTAAATTCATGAAATTTGAAACTGTATTGTAAAAAATAGTGAGCTTTTTCATTTAAGTATTGTCTATAATTACCGAAAAGGGATGAACACTCAAGGTAAAAAGCCAAACTTTTCCCAAAAAAAGGGACAAAACTTAGGAGATCAAGAAATAAAATTTGAGCGACAGAAAGAAAAAAAAGACTTTGGGAAAACACTTGTGCTAAAAAAATGTTTTGGTGTTTTCTCCACCTGTTTAAGCAAGGCGACATATGCACATCGTGCCTTGAGAGAAAACAAGAAAATGACACTTGCTTGAAATGTTTGAAGTTCAAGTTCTGCTTTTGAAACTTGGAAACATAATATTTGTACAGATCTGACAGTTGCAAATGAACTTGCAAAAGATTTCCTGCCATATCCTCTGCAGTCCCATTGGCCCCTGCTCTGGCTCGCTCGCAGCTTAGATTGGTGAGAGGCTGCCTGATGCTCATGTAAGAGACAAACACCTTTACAGGTGGGGAGCTATCTTCTACAGTATGGTCTATGCTGCACAGCTTTTCTTTGGCAAAGGAACAAAGGAATGTGGCACAGGGCAGGGCTGAAGAAATCTGATACTATGGCACCCCACACGAGTATTGTTAGACCTGGTGAAAGTGTGGGCCATCAAAAAGAGAAAAAGGATATTGTTAACAATGTAGTCACCTGTCGATGCTGCATTATTTGCGTACACTCTGGTAAAGTCCTCAAGGAGTATTTTTCATGATCTAATAAATACATAAGATATTCTAGCAGTTAAACATTTACCCCTGCGGCAAATACCATCCATAAAACAATTCTGAAACATTGATGAATAGATGGTAAATACCTTCTAAAAATAGCGTTATTTTCACTTCATATTTTAAGATAAAAAAGCCTCTTCATTGAAGATACAGCTTCCAGAGATTTATTTCCACAATTTCCCTTTTATTCTTCTATGATAAAAGTAATAAATAGCCAAAGCAAATAAAATCAGGGCTTTTTTTTTTTTGTGATTTTGGCCACTAAATCTGTTTGGGGCTTCTTTGCCTGTGTTTTAGCCAGAAGGTAATTCTGATTCTTCTGTCAGATGTTTTGTAGCCGTATGCCCTCCAGAAAGTCTGGCAAGAGTGGAGGCAGGCAGATAACAAGATACACAGGTGATTTTCTTTTAGTCTGTATTCCTGGCTGTGTGAAAGGAGTAAGCTATGATGTGCCCCAAGCGTCTCTCCATATCATTACTATTACGTTTACCTCCACTCAAACCTTCCCCATGATTTGGCAACTGTGAAGCAGGTACGGAGGAGAAAATCTTTGGGTTATGCCTGGTCCCTTTACTGCTCTTCTCTGGCAAGAAGGGTCTATTGCTGAGGTCAGCCAAAGGCTGAGGCAGCAATTTAATCCAGCCATTGGCACCAGTTTGCCTTTCACTGCTAGAAGAAGCCTCTATTGAAGTCCAGTTGAAGGAGCTTTCTGCAGCTGATATTAGGCATGTATCTGTCATCCAGAAAAGGTTCCATGAGCAAAGTTTGGGATGGATAATGTCTGAGTTATGGGCGCTGCATATGGACACACTCTAAAATGTCTACTCTGTGACATTTCTCAACGTCCTTTTCAAGATCCAAGACCCCAAAAGTGGAAATCAAAGCAGAAAAGCAGGAGCGTCTGCCTTGCAAAGGTGCAAGGTTTGGAATACGTAATGAAGTATTGCACTACTGTTAAAAGATGTAGTTCCTCACAAAGAATAACATCCAACCTCTTAGAATGGAAGCCTGAAAAGCTTTGTAGATCAACAGCTATGGAAGCCACCTCTAGCCAGACGGAGCTTGGTGCTATAATAGACATGGTAGAATGACACACCCACACTGGCTTGCAAATAAATAGTTCATCCATCTTTTGGAACACACGTCATGACTCAAATCCCACAGCAGAAACAAATCTGACATTTTGTATCTTGATGTATGCACATCTTTTCCCTTCCCACTGATTTCTTCTCAAGTTCTGTAACTGCATCCCCTCATCTACACAGAGCTTTCAAGAGTTTCACTGCAGTGGAGTATGTGTGGCTGCAACACAAATGATAAGCAGTGCTCCTGCAACCACTGTCATCAGAAAAAAGTCTGTCTATTTTCATCAGCAATATACTACTATGTCATGGCACAGAAAATAAGGCTCCCAGCTCACACAGTACCACTCATAAATCATAAAGATCTATGAGGAAATGCAGAGCAGAAACCAAAACATGAAAGCCACACAAACTTCTATGATATTAGGCAGCTTTCCATTATGATAGACTTGCCCAAATTATCTGTCTCCAAATGCTGTGGGCCTGATTCTTCTCTTTCTCACCAGCAGAAAGGAGAATTTTACTGAAGTCAGTTGTTTCCCTCCCCACATCGTGTAAAACTGTCACAAGCTCAGAATACAAAGACTCAAAAGGTAGTTTTGTTCCATTGCTAGAAATACATCACCTTGATTAAACACATGATTTTTTTTTTTTTTAGCTCCCAAAACAATTGCTTATGACTGGTTTCAGAGGGAGGAAAATTCCCTCTTTAAATAGATCTAACTCATTATCCATCACAAATTGTTGCTGGATTTCAAATATCCTTCTCTTTTCCTCCCACAAAACACTCCCCTTGTATTTAGGGTTCAATTATGAAGAGAGTTAGAACATAATTCCTCCTATTTATTTATTTGTGTCAGAATCGGTCTCTGCATTACCAATTTTTTCTCTGTCTCTCTTCAAAAGAGCATGCAAACAGAAGCCTCCTTTTTGGGTATTTAATGCAGTCACTAACATGAAAGACAGTTTATTCGCACAGTTCAGTAGCTAGCACACCCTCCAGGTTCTTGGACTACCCTACCTTGGCAGACAGACTCTGTGGTTTGTTGGAGAGGATCTCTGCTGCTTCCCTGCAGCGGGTGGAAAGGTTCAGGATAGCAGCAGCTGCTGCTATGTGGGTGTCTTCACTACATTGACCGTAGCTATAAGAGTTGGCATGGCAAGGGCTCTGTGTGTGGGCGCTAGCACTAGGCAGTCGATTAGAAAATTTCACTGGATTTGAAAAATGCTTTGCTGTTGAAGAGAGATTTGATTAGCAATTGCACGTATGCGATTTTTCCCATTAAATAGTTTTGTTTCACAGACTATAATTTCATACATTAATATATTCAAAGAACGCATCTAAAATAATCCATTTCCTATAGGTTATAAAGGCTTGCTGTAAAAGTGGGTTCAGAAACATGATAATTTGATTTTTACCAGAAAAATACCTTTGCTATATACACATCCTACAACAAAAACATCTGAGATTTTTACTCAGATTTTACTCACTCCTTACTCAGGCATTAAAAACAATGTTGTCCAAGGAAAGACTGAACAAGGATTAGTGCGCTATCAGTCTTGACCTGATAGCACTGGTTGGCAAAAGCAATTGTAATTGTATCCTTATAAATGCTTCCTCTTGGAGCTCTGTTGTGAAAAAAAAAAAACCCAATGACTTATCCAATCTTAGCTAAAACAACATTGCCCTACTTAAATGAATAATTCTATAATTCAAATTGCTGTGCTTAAATGAGTAAGGTGAATAAGATGAGGCTCTTGAACAAACTGGCAGCAGTCAGATAAGAACGTTACCTGTTAGGAATATTCAGTCCTGTTTTCATGGAAGTTTTTAGCATTTCAGATCTACCCTTTAATCAACTAGAAAACCCCAACAACGAACATTCAGAATAAAATTGGTCTTATCATCTGGAATAATTTTTATCTTTCCTAGGCACAAATAGATCAGTTAAGAGTGAAAAACTGACTTACAGGTGAACAGAAAAGCACTTTCACAGATAAAAGTGGAGCATGTGGTTCTGTGTTTTTCCCTTCATCACCAGCATTTACTCTAAAACAGGTGGAAAAAACTGGGCTCTTTGTTCTGGATTTTGGAGTTTGCGATGTCATTAACTGTTGCAGGGAAAACACAGCACCACATCTCAGCTCTTACTAGGCAATAATCATTTCTTTTGTTTGTAGCTCTCACAGTGTTCTGCAAAGATAAACTAAGCAAAATCCAATTTCTCAGCCTACACCGAGATACACCAAGAACATTTCCGTGTATAGCCATCTGCTCGCCACATAAAGATCTGAGCCCCAAGGCTCTGGATCCCTTTGGATGTAGAGCTTTGGGTGAGTACGTTTTAATGCTACAACCTACACAAGACATTGAAGAATTTATCTTTCCTCAGACTTGGGATGTTCTGAGTAAAATGCTTGTTTGTGTGCACTGACTGTAGCTGAAAGCCATATTCAGCTCTTCTAAACACTGCAGGCATCTCAGTGGAGCAGTGCCTAAGAGTCTGATCGTTCAGCTCTCCCTTTCTTCAGTGCAAATGAAAAAGGATTTTACTTACCCTGCTGTAAAACTGGAGCATGAGCAAGAGGGTCTACATTTTTAGCAGTTACTACAGCTAACTTCCAATGATACTTAAAGAGCAAAAAGGTGCATCTTCCATTACCCACTCTAAAAGACCAAAAAATGCGGGCTATGAAGGATGTATGTTTTGCCAACAAATCAAATTTATGAATGCAGAATCCACAGAGGACTAGTGATGGACTTTTGGCTAGCTACTTATTTACGTAGGATGCTGAATCAATCTCTACATCATCAGCTTCTTATTGGCAACTTTTGTATATCTGCATAGTCAGAACACTAACCTGCTCTTTTATTTTCACCTTTCCATTAAAATAATAGCTGTATGCTGTGCAATCTTTATAAGAGCAGTATGCTGTAAACTTCAGCTCTGATATACTTTATACAAAAATTACATATGTATGGCTTTGCATTTGTATAAAAACATTTCAATCATGTTTTTCCTTGAAACGAACCTGTGAAATAGACATGCATCTGTGCAAAGTGACAGCTAATAGGGAATATTCAATTTTACAGGCAAAATTGGAAAATCTTCCACCCAAGTAGCTGGCAATGCACATATTTGCTTACATTTAACACGTTGATTTTCCAGGCCAGATATATATCTACTTTGCATTTTCAATTTTAAATAGGTATTTACATATATGTATACAAATACATAGATACATCGATACATTTTATATACATATACATGCATACATTCTCTCTCACACATACACATGCGCACATACAGATAAATGAATATATTTATAAAATTTCTGCTTTTCTGTTCACCATACTGTGAATGTTCTCTTTTGTTGGGATAAGTTGGACGTAATTTGTTTTTCTTTTTTTTCTTTACTATATTTTTTGTGACAAAAACTAGGTAGTCTTTTGTCACATAGCTTTGAAACTATTTTTCCCTGAACTCCAATATGGTATAGCAAAATCCTTTTTTCCACTGCCCACATGGCAACTGAGTTGTTTGTTATTTTTAACTCAAGAGTATTTTGTAATGGTTAAAATAATGGCAGATTCTTGTTGAAATTTCCCATGCAGACTGTCTGCAATAAGTAATAAGTGTTCACACTGTGATATCTCATTTGTGCGAAGTAGTACCCCAGCAAATCTGTAAGTGATGCAAGCAGGGGCATCTCATTCATGTAAGAGAGCTAACAATTTCATGCACTGGGTATGTCTGCGCTACAAATATGGTGTAGTGCAGAAGTATCTTGAGATCAAAATGAATTAAATTGAGGCCTGGAAGCAGTGCAGCTGAGAAATATCGTTCTCTAGAAAAGCAAGAATGTCTGTACTGACACAGCTAAAAGATATCTAAAATACCTTTTAAAACCTAACTTGCATATCTCTGTACTACTGTCCATAATGTCTTGTGTAGACATATTCAATGGAACTTCTCATGGCAGCATGCTATCACATGAATAAAGATATCACAGTTTTTCCAAGGGGGAAAGTGACAGATAAAAAGTAAATTATTGCTTTTTACTCTCCCCTTCCCCCAACAATTGCTTTTAGAAGAAAAAGCTAAAAAAAAAAAGTAAACCTTTCAATCAGTAGTGATTATTTTAGTGTGCTGGCCACAAGCAGTTACAGAAGCTTCCTACAGAGATTCTTTGAATCTTGTAAGTTTGAAAGGGGAACAAGCAAGCAAGCAAAAAAAGGCATTTTGCTCATCTTTCAAGATAAAATGGAATTTCAAGCTTACATTCAAGGAACTGGGGTGTCTTTCGTCCTTGCACCACTGGTGCCATTGTGCGTTTGCCAAAGACTTGTGCATCAAAGCTGGCATAATCAAATGGTACTTTCCCAAACTTCTCCTGTTCTTTCATCAAGGTGGTTCTGGAGGATGTGACTGGCTGTGAAGTTCTGTAATTGTACTGAGCTACTTCAGGCTGCTTGGTCAAATTTGTCCTGCAGAGAAAATGAGGAAAAGAATGAGAAAGACAGGAATGACAAAACAAGAATATCTTTAAATTATCTTTTATTGAAAAATAGAATACAGTTGCATCTCAGTGTCACTTGTAAATCTACTGGTAGGTGTATATAAGAAATGAACAATACAATCATTGTGGGTCATCCTGTATTCAAAGAATTTTTGATAAGTTCCAAGACATAATCATTAAAAAATCTGGTATTCTCTAGTAATGATGTAGGCTATTTACAAAGAAGCTACTGATGTACTTCTAGATTACCACTGCAGGATGGTAGTTCCTTTTTTTCTAAAGGTTGTCCAGACTTTTGCTAGACACAAGGCTTGTAGTGTTATGGATCACTACCGTTTTCACTTTACTGTGAATGAATATTATATAAATATAATATAAGATGATCCAAAATAATTGCCTCTGCTATTTGGGAGGAAATAATGATTTACAGTGTATTATTCCATTTAGCTACTGTTCAGCAACTACTTGTCTTTAGTAATTTCCTAAGGACTTTTCATACGTGGAGTTAAGGCACATGCAGTTGGCAGACACATGGACATAATATTCTGTAATGGCTCTGAAGGAACCATTAGAGCTGATCATGTCAATAATCCACAAATTAAAGTGTCCCCAAATAGACCTGAATATAATAGGTTATAATGGTCATGGTGCCAATGATGTGCAAATTATGCATGTCTGTAGGGTCTATATAACTCTTAAACAAAATAGAATTGCAATAAAAATTGTTTGCCCTTTTTGATGCCATTGTATAAAAAATTAAATTAATTAAATCAATAAACTTAAAAATAAAGCAACTAAATATATGAATTAATTGATGATGGGGAAATAAACTGAGCAGAGTTTTCAACACTTCAGATACCTGCAGTTTGAGTATTACATGCCACCTGGGATCAGTGGAAGATTCCTTTGGAAAGGATCACAAAATAAATGAGGATTGTGCAGCTAAAAGTGTAAAAAGATCAGAAAGATCTTTAATCAAGTTTTAGTGGCCAAAATATTATAACAAAGGAACAGCTTGAGAAAATATTTTAAAATATTTTATCAAGAAAGGAGATTGGGTTTACTGGAGAAAAACATTTGAGAACCATTGATTGGGCTGCTTGCATTGAATTAAGTTTTACTAGAATAGATCTGATGATTGTTTTTCAAAAGATATGAATGTAGTCTTTTAATGTCAGCCACACTCACAAGGACCACCGGAATGCTGCTTGATAATTCTAAGATACAGTCAAGTTACATATCTTTGCAGAGGGTCATCTTGCTAAAATGAGCTTACCTCAGTAGCTAAGAGTTGAAATGGGTGAAAGATCTGATGACTGAACAACAGCATTTGAGTAGAAAAACCTTGGAGAGATTAGCTGAGGAGGAGTCCTACCTGTGAGTCTGATCATAGCACTGCCCAGCTTTTGGAGACTCGAGCTGGTTTTTTTCCTGGGACATTGCCAACTTTTCAGCTGCAGCAATTGGACAACCAGAAAGGCTGTTTAAAAGCAAGGTGAAGAAAAGAAACAGGAAAAAAAATTTAGAGTAAATTTGTAAGTGCAGAAAATGAGGAACCCAATGACTCTGAACTTCTCTGAAGCCTTGTGCACCTACAGGAACAGCTGCTGCTATTCCGGCCTACATTCATCTGTTTTTACCCCTTTATGCAAATCTGTGAAATCTCTGTATTTGAGGTGAAATAATTGGAAACTGAATCATGCAGGAGATTTCCACTGTTCAGCTTAAAGGTTTTGTGGCAGGCAAGCCACTACTTAATTTTTTGACAAATGGCATTTATTTTATCAGCAAATCATAGGTATAAGCCTCCCACTGATTAAAAGGAAAGGATCTAGGGAAGAATCAGGGGTACATGAATAATGACTGTTACCGAAATACACATTTCTGTCATTTCAAGTTATACTTTCTCTTTTTTTTCTATTATTTGCTTTGTTTCCAGACTAAAACATGTCTTCTTGTCCTATTAAAGGATTGCTTATGATACAGCTGATGTGCTGCAAAGATGACTAGGGCTTTAAAACAGGAAAAACAATGCAAATATTTTTAATGGTTCCTTATCTTTTTACCTCTTATATATTCCTGTAGCCAAGCTTGTGATCTCTCTGGTATAGACTTTGCTTTGCTTTTTTTTATATTATGGATCCTAACATGATATAATAATCCTTGCTTTTGGTGCCCTCACAAAATAACCAATCAAGCAATGAATCATTACCATGCACTAGAGTGGCTCAAAACTGAAAATCAATTTTAAAAAATCCCACAAAAACCTAGTCCAGCAAACAAAGGTTATTTTTGATAATTTTCCGCCCCAAGTTTGGCCATAAGATTGAAAATGTATTTTCCTAGAGGAATGTTCCTCTAGAAGAACCATAACGGAATTATTTTGGCTTGCAGGCTTCCAGCAGAAAGTAATCTTGACAAGTGCTACGCCGACAGCAGCCATTTGCTGGAGACAGAGCACTTCTGCTCTCTGCCTCACCTGCAGCCCAGCTGTGATTCCCCAGCTGCCTGTCTGGAAGCCTTTTCTCAATTATACTTTCTCCCTGCAGGCAGAAAGTTAAACAGGCAAAAGTGTTCCAAGTGGCAGGCTGATATTCCTGAGGACAGTAAATGGAGTCAGTTTTTACAGACCTTCTAAAGTATTCCCTTTAAAATTTCCAATTTTACTAAAAGAGCATATGCCTTGATGGAAAATTCCTGCCAAGGTCAAGCATGTATGTGCGCAAAACAATGAAGCTTTGGTTTCAGTTGAGATTTCCGGTTGTAGTAATAATAGCATATTTGTTAATTCATAGGTCATTTACTTGGTGGTGTTGCACTGTGAACACTAAGATGCAGCGATAGCCTCATCTGTGAAAAAGACTAGAGGAATTTGCCATACTCAGTGCTTCAGCCATTTTTGTTAAACACAATTATTTGGTTATGAATTATACTGGCTACCCTTGTGCTTCACAGGCATTCTTCAGTGTAGCATATCACACCGAATTCCAAGATGTGCCTATCAATTTACTTCCAGGTACTAGTTTTTAAGCTGACAGGAACAGGAACTGTTCTGGACTACCTTCTGTGTGTGTTGCGATTGCTGTTGACATGTCCTCTTCCAGTACATCCTGGGGTGGGGCACTTTAAAACATTTTCATGCATGGCAAGAACTAAATAGGAAGAAAAAAAGAGTGATAACAACATACGTTAATGATATACGCTAAAACATATGACATTCTTTCTTCTGACTGAGAAGACTCTCATCTTTTTCACATTTTGGCCCTAAAAGAACAGGAGAAGCAAAGGACCTACAATGCAGCAAGGCCAGTGCCTCCAGGATATACTACTTTATCCCTACGCAGCTGTAGAATAGTTTCCCACATACAGGATTGTTTCCAGAACAAAGGTGGAAGTTAGCAAGGATGTTATGCTATTAGATCCTTTGCCCTCTGGCTCAGACACCACAAAAACAGTCAGAAAAGGGACATCATAGAGGGGCCTCAGGCCACCCAGCTGTGTTACACATAAATGCAATTTCTCTCTGGCTCAGGGATGGCAAACTCTCAGATAAAGGAAGCCTTTTTATTCCTTGCACCTGAGTAAGATGGTCTGTTCCGATAAGTCTTTGTCCCTTCTGATCACCTGCTCTGTGCTGAACCCACTTTAGATCAGTTCGTGGTGCCTCCAAGCAGCAGCTCACAGTCATGCCAGGAGAAGACATTACAGAGATAACGTCACAAGTGGTGAATACAACCTGTTGCATGTGCATTTCTTATGTCCTTTGATGTGGATCATCTTTACCAACAGTGATGTATGTCTGTGTAAAACAGAATATATCTTTGTACATCTTCCCTCATGCCTTCAGTGCTGCATTACCCCTTGGGTGCACTGTGCTTCAAAAGGACTGATTGTTCAGTCAACCGGCTTGTTCTGTCAAGAACCAAATTTTGGTTACAGATAATTATTTTTTACCCAGCAGGACAGAACATGTCTGAATGGAAGTCTGATAATTAGCAAGGATTTGTTTTTAAAAAAGTTAATGTTGCTATGGCCTTCCAAATGCAGCAGTCTGCTTAACTCAACAGATGTTTCCATAAATACAGTTTAGTACCACATTTTTAAAAAGACAGAGCCACAGTTAGGAACAGGACATTGGTAAAGTGCAAGCATCCTTTTAATTTGCGGCTATGCATACCACCACAAAAAAAACTCCTCTGACTGACTAGGTTGTTCAAATGTATAGTTTCACATTACGTTTTTGCTTATTATATATAATTTCATTGCATCATGTCACAAGATGACACACACACACACACACACACACACAAATATAATCAAAATCAGCACAGTTAGAAATAAATGTGGAATTCAGGCTACAGTGGCCACACAAGGGTTAGCATGATACAGACTCATAGGACAGGGACACACTGTGGATCAAGGCTGGGATTTTTTCTCTTTTTAGTGAAGGAAGTAACCTCCTTGAGCTGAGAATTAAGAACGATACCAGAAACATCTCTGAATAAAGGTGTCCTTGGCCTCTAATTACTGGAAATTGGAAAACAGATGCCTGAGTTTGTGCATGACTACAGCAAATCAGGTCACAGTTCTGAAACAAGGGTAGTTAACCTCTGTGCACCACGCCTTAGCAAAGGCATGGTCAAACATGATTGAGAAGATTCATAGGGCTACAGCAGGTAAGTCTGCTGGCAGCATGTGGATAGTTGGTCTGTGATCTTCCCAGGCCATCTGTGACACCTAGTACTACTTGTAATGCTACTGTTAAGTAGTGCTTGAGTTTCACAAGTGTGGGCAGCAGGATGTGACTAAGAGCTGGAGGGCAAAGGAGGTGTGACAGCTCCTCTTTCAGCCTCATTCTGCAATCTCAGTCAGAATATGTGGGTTGTTCTCCAGCATGAGCACACATGACCCACAGTACTGGGCCAGATCCAGTTGCTGTTCTGAACTGCAGGGTGATACTCACTTTCTAGTGGCACTCTAACTTTATGCGGACAGCCTGAGAGACTGCGGTGGTGAGGGTACAGCCCAGTCACATGCCCTGTGCCATCACATCCTGGGATGGGACATTTGGTTTCTCTCTTTTCAGGCCGGGGTGAATCTGCAGAGAAATCAGATAAGGATTTTGTTTGGTTATAGTCTCTGCCTGTACTCAGCTGAGTGATCTTAGCAGCATGATAATATTGCTTTTGTACTTTAGATGCAATTTCTACACAAAACTTCAACACAGAGTTAGGCATTCCTTTAGCTTTTCACAACGTCCTTTAAATAATGGTTCCCCCATCCCAATATGTCATTTATGTGCAAAACTATAGTGCTTTAGGATTGCAGCGTCATTTATTCTATTCAGAGCCTCAAACAGGACACAAGCCACAATCCAATCAGCCAGAAAACTGGCAGCATCAGCCAACAGCCAGATATATAAAGGAATAAATAAAAAAAAAACAAATAATCTTTTACTCTGTTAATGTCAGACTCCAGGAAGCTGGGATAACCAAATAAAAGCTGAGGTACAAAACAAACAAACAAACAAACAAAAAGCATTTCAGCCAGAAGCCATTCCTTAAATATCGCAGATCTCGAGGCTGTGGGTTCTTTGTTAGGAAACTGAATACATGCCACTTTACATTTGAGAGGCAAGGCAAGCAGTTCCCTCTGGTACACATGGCAATACCGCTTTGTAGAACAGCCCACAATGACGGGGAAAACATGGAGCAGCCGATACCCTTTCAAAGGCCAGGTCTTAACCCAGTCCCACAGCCACCACCCTGTAACGACCAAGGTGTGTTCCCAATTTTTATTTCAAGCACCTAGAATTGTGCGAGAAACACTGGTCAGAAAGCCTTTATTTGATTTCCAAGGCAGGATCAAAAAGTCTGGGCGAGAAATGAATGAATTCTGGTCCAGATATTCTCTCGTGAGAAATATGCAGGAAGTGGCCGCATAAATTGCTGAGGATGGTTTTAGCTCAATCTGTGATTGGCTGCCAACAGCATTCAGCAGTGAGGGGGAAAACAGCTGCAGCCAGCGCAGGGAGCAGCCTCCTCCAAGCACATTTTGTTGGGCTATGAAGTAGACTGTGCTTAGGGACCGGATCACCAGAGACAGCTGAGGGTTAAACTTCCTAGCAAGCCTCTAGGTGAAAAAAAAAAAAGGAGGAAAGAAAACAGAAAAAACATTAACAGGACACCACATGCCTTTTAGAATCACTGCAAATGGAAAGTGAGGAGTCAGTGTAGGAAACTCTTCGCTGCAATGGTGCAGAGAAAATAAAGAGGGACCTTAAGCACAATTTAATTTTCACTCCACTAACTGGAAAGGCTTATGATTAAAATCACGGAAAAATGTAAATTTAAACCATATTTATCTGGAATAAGATCCAAGAAAGAAAACTAAGACCTGAAAAAAGATTATAGATTTTTAGCACTAAAAACAAAGAAATTTCTGTACCTGACATTACATTGACTAAAATCACATAGTGTTTATACAACCTGGGGAAAGCTTAGTTTGTTCCTCCATGAATGCTGCCTCTGAACTAACCTGCAAATAATAGTTAATAATAATGTGAGATGACTCAGGAACGGCTAAATTCTGCCATACTTACCAACACTACTTCTTCCTATGTGTACTGTAAGAAAGTCACATTGACTCCAATGTGACCCCTGGTAAACAAAGCTGGTCTCAACATAAGAAAAGGCATCTGAAAGATTCCTGCATAGATCACAGTCATCTGAGCAAATAAAGGTTAACATAATCTAGCAAAGAGGTAGGCTAATACCTTGCATATACAGCTTAAGATATGTTAATGAAACGACTGTTTGAGACAGAAAAAGTGGATGCATGCATATGCTACCTGACTGGTACAGGAAATATTGTATACTTGCAATACCTTACAAAACTTCTCAGTTATCTTAGATAGTAAATACTTTAGATAGCTAAACTACTGTAATATTTGCAGTGTCCAAAAGAGTAGATACGTGGACTACTCTAAAGTCACACTAGAAATACCAAAGTAACTCTGTTTATCAAAGACAGAAATTGCAACAATGCTGGGGTGATCTCACTGTATTTGCAAGCCAAAAAGGGAAAGTCAAAGGACAGAGGTAGGTATTGTCACCTACTACAGCAAGAATGTGCTTATAACATGACATCTTACGATGTTCTGCAATTATCCTCAGTCGAGGAGTTCCATATCACACAATCCAGACTACATATCAAACCCAAATCTTTCATGTCTCCACTTCTGGAAGCCTGATTACATACAGAAAATGGAGTTATGTTCCTATGGCCTTGCATGATGTCACAAACCATCAGAAACAACACAGATTTTGGAACTTACTGACAATTCTTCTGATGGTGAATGAGGCAGAAGAGGCACGGCTTGTGCTCTCCTGGCTCTGAAGTACTGGCTAGAGTAAAAGGTAATGTTGATAAGTGAAGGAGACAGAACTCAGAAAACACAAGGCTTAGGAATAAGGTGGTATGTTTGGAAGAGACCAATTTTGCGCCCTAACCTTTCCTCAAGCACGATTTAAATGCCTTCTCTCTCAGCTGCAGAAATTCGGGAGGTATGTATTAGTGCCCTATAAAGGAGGAGGAAGAGGAAAAGGAGGAGGAGAAGGAGGAGGAGGAGGAGGGGAAGGAAGAGAAGGAGAGGGAGGAGGAGGAGTGTCAGTGCCAGCTACGCAGCCCTTTTAGTAGCCATTACTGATCATTTCACAGCGCGGTTTGGCAGGAAGCCAGGTACCTACCGTTTAACCTGGTTAGATGTAAGGCACTAGTGTGAAGGTACGTAATTAACAAAATTACCAGCTAAATTCCAGATTCTTTACTGTTGCTATAAAACCTAGCTCAGGATCCTCTATCAGTCATAGGATAAATGCTTAAGCCAATAAGAACAGCCAAAAATACTTGCTTACGTTTGTTGCTAAATATCTGTCTCCCACCAATGTCAATAACTTTGGTTTGTCTCCTTTCCCCTGTTAGATGCTCCAGAAGAAACCTATCCAATTCCTTGTAGGTGCTGTGAAACACATGGCCTTGCTCTGCCTGCAGAGCTATTGCTTGTTCTAGCAAACTCAAGTTCCCTTTCGTTTTGTCCAGATCAACTGACACTTCTGTAGTTTCTGACAGGCACTCGTTGTCATCTTCCTCACTTTCAGGGAAGGGATTCTGAATTTTCTTCTCAAAAGGGTCTGGGTGAGACTCCTGGGGTGCTCTTAGCTCTGTTTCTGAGTCACAAACTGTTTCACAAGGGCCAAATTCTACTTCTTCTTTCTTAATTTCCAGGACTTCCAGGATGCTCGGTTGATTACACTCCACAATATATTTCTGAGTTACGTGGGACTTTGCATTAGTTTCTTCTGAAAAGTTTGACGAGCTGTCCCACTCGTTGTCCATAATTTCAGAGGTACTTTCATTTTCTTCAGACGAACAGTATTTTGGGTCAGAAATATCAGTCTTTTCCTTTCCTTCAGCTGAGTTAATCATGTAACATTCATCAGTGTCATCACTTTCTGTTTTTAAGGAGTGAATGCCGCTATCATTTAGATTTTCTGCCACTGCTTGACTGGGTGCATCTTTTGCTAATTTTCCCATGTTCATCAAAGATTTGGCCATGGCATCTTGGTAGCTGGTGTAGTTATCTTTCTTTTGACTGGAATTTTCTTGCCCACCCAAACTAGGAGTCTCCTCAGATGATTTTGCAGTATTTTCCTCTACATTGGAAAAAAGTAAGGGAAAAATACGTAAGAATAACTGCTTTTGGTATGTTGTAGAACTGATACGAAGTTATTTATTTACCAGTTTCCATTTTTTTACTCAAAGGTGCTCTGAAATGATTGTATGCACCACAGCTCTGTCTAAAATGACTGTTTGCAGCATCAAGGAAAGGCCATCTGAGATTATATCTACTTTATGCTGTAGCTGCAAAGCTATATGAGAAATAAATATGTTATTATTTTTCTCTGATAGTAAAGAGATATATTATCTTAGAATAAACATATATTCATATAAATACAATGTAGTATGTATATATAACATGCATATCTATATATTTATACACACACACACACACACACACACACAGAAATACACACACATATTTTCAAATTCCTTTAATTTATATTTTCACTTCTCTCTTATCTAAGATTCTCAAATATTTCCTCAGAATAGACCCCTAATTACTTTTCAAGTCATTCCAAATCCCATGAAGGACCTTGATGGAAAAAGCTCAATACTTTACAAAGGGCAAGCTCCTGCTCACCATTGCAATTGCCACATTAAGTGATAGATCAGGTCATGCACAAGCAAACAGAAATGGTTGTTATGTACAGGCTCATAAAGGACTTGTTAAAGACACCACTGAAGTGCATCCTGTCTTTACAAACATCTTTCTTCAGAAGAAAAGCAGCAGCCAGCAGGTAATAGAGGCTGCATGTAGGAGAGGCTGTCGGTGTGGAAGACAATACGCCTTTTGTATCTCATTTAATTTTTTATAAACATTTCCTCTGACAAGGACACTCAAAAATACATCTCCATCATCTTCCTTTCTGGTAATTATCTCTCTAAAATCAACACTGGTTTGCCAGGATCAAGTAAATATTGCCATAGTAACTAAAAGCATTTTTGGATGAAGGGAAGAATTTAGTCACAACACTAGCCCCTTCAATAATGCTGATTATAGGGTACATTCTTTTGTTGGGATCTATTCAACATAAACTGAAAAATTTAACATTTTACTTCCTAGAAAGGAGAATGAATAAACAAGCACAGACTATTTGATAAGATGTATCTGTCCTCTCCTGAATCAGAAGAACTCCAGGTTTAAATAATAAATTAAGCATAGTCTAAAATGCAAATGAAGTTTCTCTCAATAACACAGTGAGCTATTAAGAGAAAGTGTAAAGGGTTATGATAATTTTAAAGTATTATGAACTACAGAAAACAAATAAAAAGCATTTTCAGTGAATATGTCCAATTCATTGAACTATTCTCTCAATCCACTTAACTACCCACATGTGTACAATAATGATTTATAGACATTATACCTAATTATGCATATTTGGGCTGTGTTAGAGTGCCTAACAAAAGCTCTAGAAAGCAACAATTACCTCTGTTGCTTAGCTACATAGTTTAAAATATTCCTATTAAGTGCAGATTATTGTGGAGGGGAAAAGGGGGACAAAAATGCACATGTGCACCACAATGCATTTCACTTTACTGCTGCCAAACTGTTAGCATTTTGGGTCATTTCCAGTTTACATAATTGTTTGGTTCAACTGTTTGTTATACGTTAAAAGAAAATATTGATTAATTCTTATTCTTCTTCAGAAAATTGGATTCATGCAGGGAGAGGTGGCCTTGTGCACTGTGTACATCAAGTTGTGTTTTAAAAAAATGTCTGTAAACCTTAGCGCAACTTTTTAGCAGCTGGTCTAGTACCACACACATTGCAGTCTTCTGAATGAAAAAGTCTGCTGTCTTTTCACATCTCAGCAAGTAAGAATGATGATTTGGCTCGATAACAAACTTTTGTCAAACGACTGCCTGGGCTTTTATTATTTGCTCCTCTACCATTTAGATAAAAATGCAGTCCCATCAATTGGTCTTTTAAAAAGGCAAGGGGTTCTAGTTTTAAAAGAAGTATCCCCATCCTTCAAAACAAAACAAAGCAAAGCAAAACAAAACAAAACAAAACAAAACAATAGTAAAAGGTCTTTTAAATTATTTTTCTTGGTAAAAGACTGCCTGATCCAAATGCAAGATGAAAAATGATATATAAATAATATATAATTGAGATGTTTGATACCTGAACAATCAAGATTGATGCTAAAATAATAAGGAACTTTTAAATGCAACGTTTAAAAATTTGTTGTTGAACCAGTCTTAATGGTTCAGCTGTCTCAGCTTTGCTTTTCACTCCTATAGGCTGGAAATTTCCTTTGAAAATAATCAAAGCTGAGCTTAGTTTACAGTTGCATCAATCCATGAAGCACTAACAGACCAACCGACAAGAATCACAATAAAATGAGCAATATCACACTGAGAATTGTAAATGAACCTACATAGCCAGATCAACTGTATGCTCTAGCTAATGTTCATTTTCAGCTACTTTAACTGGTAAAATTAAAGCAAAAGGATTAGCTTATATTATCACTGACACAAGCAGATCTGGAGAAATCCAATTGGTATCAAATTTGAAATAAACTTTTTGAAATAAAATGTTTTTTCTTCTGACTGAGTAGGTGACTGGCTGGGTGTAAATAAGGTTCTGCTATGTTTATATCAATAAGCCTGACCCAATACTTGCCTTTTATTTTTAAAATAAAAAGTTAAATAACTTAAATAACTATAGGTTCCTTTGTATATCAGCACAAGTTCTAACTCTACATCCAGCAAAGTGCTTTCCTTCCATTGAGTTCTTTGAACTGTACAGAAGACAGATACAAGGGAAAGAAAGTGCCTTACTGAAGACAGTTCTGGAAGGCCAGACCAGGTTGAATTAATATTAAAAAAATAGCTACAATTTGCAGATTTTATAAATAAGGAATATAAAAATATTCCTGGCATGGCTTGATGAATTTGGCTTAGTGATGCCATCCAAAAGACACAGACATTGGGTATCACATTGTTTGTCCCTCTGTTTGAAGAAGGAGCTCCTTTCTAGTCCTTCATACTGATAGGAATCCGACACCTGGAAGAGACTCCTTCTAGAAGACTCACAAGCAGCATCTGGCTGAAATCTCTGCTGTATTGAAACAACACAAAGCCCACCACTGGTTTCAACAGAACCAGAACTGGCTTCTGATCTGAGAGATAGCTGTCTTAATTCCTCTCTTTTATGGTATTCATACGTACAACATGTAGGAAAGAAAATTTTAAAGGAAATTCTATTTAGAGTGGATAAAGATACAAATCCCTAGTCTTAGTTCTTTGCTTCCTTCCAAAGTATTGGAAAAGTGGGTTCAAGGAACTTATAACAGCAGTTGAAAATAAATTACCTTTAAACACCTGTAACAACCAATCATAGTAACTAAGTGCAATATATATTCCCTTCAGTTTTCGTTGCACCTAGGATTATGAATTTTCCCATGCTGGATCACCTTCCTTTTATCTTGACTTTGTGATCTAATGATGAATCTTCATTTAAAAAAAATGCAGCATGTATTCCACTGATTTCTCCTCATTTGCCTGATTAACAGCATTTGTACAGGACTTCTTAAGCAAATATGCGATGGCCTATATACTTTGATATCTGTTATCCATCCTGAAAATACATATATATGTGTATATATATATGTGTGTGTGTAAGCATATATTACATATATTACAAAGAAAGAGTGATAAAGACATACTGTAGCTACATCTGTCTCCCTTGCCCTCTTCCATATTTTGCAGCATACACATCGTAGAACTCTCTATAAATTGTTGGATATGTTTGGCTTAGCCGAGTTGGACTAACAAGTATAAAAGTGCTGAGTCTAATAATTGTGTTAAATAGAACACACGTAGCAGTCACATGCATGAAATTGCTTTGCTAAATGTTAAAGTCAACAATGTTTTGCTAAGCAGTTTGTTTTTTCTTCATAAAAGCTCTTTATATTCCAGTGAAAATCTACTTTTCATAAATGTGTTTTTTCTCGGTGGTGGGCTTAACCTTGTTCTTTAACAGAGCTAGCAAAGAAGCAGATGCTGCTCCATATATGACCTACTGTAGTGGATGTCTGTCTCTGTGACCTATAAAGCATTTACTAGACCCCATGAACAGTTATTCCACAAAATAATTTGGAGTATGATATTTATACCTAGACAGTAATGCACCCTTCCAATTCTGTTATAAGCAAGCCAAACACATTCTACATCCTTTTTGAAAATGCAGTCTTTCCTATCTCCCTTTCTGTGGAATTCACATTCAAACAGAGCCACACCGCACAACTACCTGGAGTTGAACTGCTTTCAAGGACATTGATATCTTCCTGTAAATCTGTCCTGTCTTCATTTTCTTCTTTGCATTCCAAACTGGGGCTGTAGTGGCGGGGTTTCATTAACAAGGATTTTCTTTTGTTGACTGGAACGCCTGAAAGCTGCTCTTCAGCTTTTCTCTTCTTAGCCATAGAGCATTTGTAGGCACTGAAATGATCGAGAAATTGGCAATGACAGAGAAAAAAGTGGGAGAAATGAAGGGGAAATTGTTAAACAAATACCACCATCCTCTATTTTAATTTCAAGAAAAAAGTGAAGAATGATAAAATATGAATTCACTTGCAGTTTCAGCTAGTTTTATTCAGTGCATATTTATTTTTAGCTCATGCATTCAAAGTTCAGGGCACAGGTAAATTCACTGCACCATTTCTTTCTCACTGCTGCCGAAATCTGTTTGGGGCAAGGGGAATGGCGAGGAAGACAAGACCAAAACACCCATAACCCAACATCCATAATCCTAAGTAAGCATATGTTAATCTAAGCTCTGTTCTGTAGTAAAATAAAAACACCCAGGAAAGGATGAATAAAGATTTAGACAGGGCAGGTAATCCAGAGAAACAGCTAATGCGAAAAATATACCACCAGTTACACTATGAAATTCTCAACCTTTAGCTCATTTATCTTTCCATTAGCATGGAAACTTGCTTGTGTCCTTTATGCTGCTGATCACAGGGGTTTTGCTTTTTTTTTTTTTTGCTATGATCCCCTATTTTTGCATGATCCAATGTTCAGTTTTATTATCTTTGAGATTAATTTTAAAAAGGTCACGCAGAATTGGGGCAGGGGGTAAAGGACATCATAAATTTTATACAATTATTGCCAAATTTTGTTTCTGGATTTGTACGTTTGGCACAATCATCAGCCTATGCCAGGCTCCCCTCTCTGTTACACTGCATGATACCTGCCTTTGTTAATGGAATTGCAATAGTGTCTTGGAATATCATCATTTCTTGTTAAATATCTAAGTCTGTAGATTGTGTTTGTGTAGGTGTTTTTGTTGCTGCTGTGTGCTTCATTATAACTGTATGATTCTGAACAGGCTTCCTTGTCATTTGTATAGACACAAGCATGGCATTGCTGACTTTTATAAAACTGTGCTGAGGGGGACAAGAAAGCAGACTTTGACTAAACAGCTATTGTGTTTGACCAGGAAAAATAACACTTACTAGATTTGATCATTTGGTCATTTTGGTCATAAAAAGTGATATTTTTCAGTCCTGTACTCTGGGCTAGGTGCTTAAACTTCCACATATTCACATGAGCTGAAAATCCAATCATGCATCCTGAACAAAATTTTTAGTCACTGTACACAGTGCAACAACATGAAATGCATGTGAAACACTGTCCCTTCGTAGTTTTGCAATATGGGTTCCTCTTTTAATATCAGACTCGTGTTAGTATCATTTCATTAACTTCAGCCTTAAGTGTCTGATTTAAGCTGTTCTTGAGAAGAGAGAAGAGAGGAGAGGAGAGGAGAGGAGAGGAGAGGAGAGGAGAGAAAAGTTCCTCCATAGGGCAGAGATTAAAACGAGGTGTATCAGATAAAGAGGGTGAATCATTCCCCTGGAAAGGTCTCAAACAATCTAGATGCCTAGCTTTCAGGTGACTGACATGACAAGAGATGACTGCCTTTTAAAGAAAATTTCTAGCAGATTTCCTATACTTCTTTCAGCTCCTGTAAGATCCACACATTGATCTGCATATTAATTAGTTTCTGCAGATATTTAATAAAGTCTTTACCAATAACAAAGCCTTTGATCTGTATGGCATACAGGTGCTACATCATATGACATCTTGCTAAAGAAATCTAAACCTTCAATTCCCCCCTTTTTCCTTTTTTTTAGTTTTTACGTAAATGATTTTGTTGTGCTGACTGCTCTCTCACACACAGTATTCTAAGAAATGTATGTAGTACAAATAATAGTGTTCATTTTATATCTGTCAGAGATGAAAAAACTACATATATGAGTCTGTGTAATCCACTCAATAGTTTCTCAACCTTAGGCCCCCCAGGGTGCATTATAAATCTACATGATGCCCTTAGGTGCTGGATTTTGCATTTGGCTCACTGACTTAGCTACAAGATTTGCACAAAATCCGTGTATGCAGACAGCTCCTATTGGTTACACATATTACAAGCTCAACAGCATAAATTAATCCTTCCAAGGTATCTTATGTGCACTAAATTGGCTCAGGTTCTGATTGTTTTGGATGAAAGCATATGACTAACTTGAGCTTGTTGTTTTAAAAAAACATCCATTTTTGGCTAAGCACCTTTTTGGCAATTCATCATTGCAAACATGAAGGACATGGAAATATGAAGATCTGCAGTTCGGGAGGAATGTTAAAATTCCACCATACGCATCTTAAACACAGTGGATATTCTTGATCTTCTAAAAGCTGAAATGCTATGAGCATCAGCAATACCGGACGCTAACCACCTGCTGTAGTTGAATATATTATGGCTTCTCTGTTATTTCTTTATTTTTGAGTACAGAATAGCATAAGTATCATATTAAAGGTCAGAATCACAATGCAACAAGTATCCCCTTGGAACTGATGTCTATATAACAAGCAGTCTTCAGGGAGGGACATAGTGCAGACCAATATGCATAATTTGTTCTTAAGAAAGTAGAGTTAAGAGTTTCTTAATTCATATTTGGGAATGGCAGTTCGTACCACTCGTGTTGTTATAGGTGAATTGCATAATTGACAAACGTTTGAAAAACCTTTCACATACAGTTATTTTATCAACCAAAGCCATCATTAAGTTTGATTTTGAATCTTTCTCATGTATTTGTCAAATTTCAAATTTACCTCCAGCAGTTATTGTGAGAGTGCTTAAGAAAAGATGAATTTCAGTGTTTAATTTCCTGCTAACAAAGCTACAGCTGTTTCTTACACAAGCATAATTAATAGATTTTTAGAACAGGAGATCCACTGACATCATCTAGTACGACACAGGTCACAGAGCTTCACCTGGTTCTTCAGCATTAATCCTGTAACTTGTCTAACTTGTCTGACTGTAGTGTATCTTCCAGTCAAGTTAGGGAAAAACATAGTAAGAAAATAAGGCAAGATTATTCTTTTACGCGTGTTCACTGAGTATAATCTTCTTCTAGTAACTTAATGTTATAAGCCCACCACTGTGGGTACGCACAACAGCGTTTAAACACGTTGGTGTTTCACCAAAACCCTAGAAGATAACCAAACTCAGATGTTAGCAGACCACAGTCAAGATGAGTGCCAGGGGTACTGCTGCCACCTGCCACCTGCAGTTATGTGCTGGGAAATGAGAGCACAAGAACCACACTTGACTATAACTACTATGATCTGGCAGGAGGAGAGATGCAGCTTTGATTTATGCTGCTCACACGACTCCATAATCCCCTGTGTGTTCTGTTGAAACACAACGGAGCAACTTTCTGAAGCAAACACACAACTTCACGTTCTGTTTGAGTCAAATTTCCAGATTCAATTTTGCTCTTGCAGTTATTCAGTTGTAAATCAAAAGCTGCTTCATCAACATCACAGAGAGGAGGCTTACAAATCTGCCTGGAAGCACATTGCTCATGTTAGATGACTTCTCCGTTAGGAAAGAATAGCATGCACTAGCTTGTCCTGTGTATATGCATACACATATATTTCTGTACATAAGCAGCCACTCACTTAGATTTCCTCTATAGTTCCCATAACTTTAAAGTTAGTGAATATCTGAGACTCAAATTTAACTCATTCCTCATACCTTCCATTCTGATTCTAGGAGCATGAAAAACCACAGTTGTTGCTTCCTTCCGAGGAAATGCTCTCCAGAGACTTAAAAGACTTTTAAATCTCCAGAGATTTAAAAGACTTTTAAATGCAGTGGCATATGCTCTTGTTTTTGATGATGACTTTTTAAAATGACTTTTTAAACTTCTGATTTTGACTTTTAGCTGGAATCCATTAGCTTACTAGAGCCAGTTTAAACATCTACGAGGTACCAGCTATTCCTTTTCTACATTATAGTGCTTAAAAGTAAAAATGAAAGTAAAATCAGAAGAAACCAACTTCACAAATGTTAGCTTTTCCAAACACTTAGAAGTGACTTGTTTAGTATTTGGTAATGGACACTGGGAATCTAACAACTAAGAAAAGAGTATATTTATGACCTTGTAACATTCATGGCATGTTGATTTCATCTTTGTCTTAAAAAGTTTCAATTTCTCTCTTCTGCTTATGTACATTCACATATACACACGCATACATTAGCAAAGATTTGTCAAGCTGTAGTTTGTCAAATGGTAAACCTATAATTTAGCTTCTCTATTACTCATCTCATAAATTCAACACCTAATAGTTTTGTTGCTATTTATCAATGGCCTGCTTGTTGTCATGGAACACTGATTCAGCTGTCAAGGTTATTTGGTAATCTGAGGCTCATAAAACAGGAGAAGCTCTTTTTGTTATGAACCCAAAGCCAATACACGCTTTTTCCCAATTTAACTGTACTTAAATTTTATGAATAATAAATCATTTTAGTACTGTCTATAACGAGCATGTTTTTTATTATTTTTTTTAGTCAATGACTCAGCTACCAAAAACAATCTTGTGTCAGTTATCAGAGCATGAGGTAAGAGGTTAAAAAATAAGGCACGTAAGACCTAGTTGCATTTGCTCAAAAAAAACATGTTAAAGAATACCTTTTTAGAATGCATTAGGTCTTCTCTTTACTCTCTTTCTGCTCAGAATATGTCTTAGATGGTGTTGGCAGACACTGGTAGCATACCAGTTCCCCACAAAAAGTAGTGTTTACAATAGATAATGTCTAATGATATGCGACTTTTCCTATTGCTCAAAACTGTCCTGCCCACCTTTCCGGCAATGGGTACATCTATCCGATGTGTTTGTCAAGCCTTTAACCCAACCTTTGATCACTTTGTAACCATCAAGAATCTGGGGGGGGGGGGGGGGGGGGGAGGTTCGTGTTCATAGCAGCAGGATAACAGGGCTAAGAATTACCATGTTGGGGAAAACCTGTGGTATGTTTAGCCTGACAACTGATGTGCACCAATGCCTGTAATGGATGTCATGTAAAATAATAAGAACAAAACATACTGCATCTCATATACACTCCTTGGCTTCATGAGAGAAAATGAATGTACCTG